CAGAGAAGACAGAAAATCAACCTCCGGCTATATTTTTAAAGTTTTTGGATGCACTGTCAGTTGGTCTTCACGTAAGCAGGCAACTGTCTCTCTGTCTTCAACCGAGGCTGAGTATGTTGCTCTCAGTGTTACAGTGAGCGAAGTCTGCTGGCTAAGAAATTTAATTTTTGATTTCAAAATTGAAAACTTTGAATGCTTTAGTGTAGTCATTTATGAAGATAATCAATCCGCAATCAGAGTTTGCAAAAATCCGGAATTTCATAATCATTTCATCTGTGACAAAGTTAAAGATAAAGTAATCATTTTAAAGTACAGGGTGTCCGAATTTGGATGGTTTTAATAGGAAAGGTCAATTTCTGAGCGAGATACAAAAAAATGAACCCCCCACTCCGAGGCTCAAATTTCTTGAAATTTTGATTGGTGCAAACCGCATTTTGATATCTTCAACCGTTTAGCCGCTAGAGGGCGATTCTCGATTTTGAGCAATACTGTGAAATCTTCATAACTTTTTTGGTTATGGAAATAACTGATTTCCGTAAAAACTTCCTAGAAGCACTTTTTCAAGCAGAGTTCAGTTTTTTTCTATTCGGCCTCGATTTCAAGATATTGACCAAAATACGATTTTTTTCAATGGGACACCCTATATATTAATAGTTCATTAGAAAGCTCTGCTTTTGCTGATTTCAATGATACAAATTTCGATAGGTTTATCTCTAACAGTTTTCGAGAAAAAAAATATTTCGGCTTTTGTCATAAGAAACAATGAGTTAGAAAGAGACCTTTCTCAGTTTCCTTACAGATATAAAGTCCTTTTCTTACACATTGCTTCTTATGACAAAAACCGAAATAATTTTTTTTCTCGAAAACTATTAGAGATAAACCTATCGAACTTTTATCATTGAAATCAGAAAAAGCCGAGCTTTCTAATGAGCTATTAATATATAGAGTGTCCTATTGAAAAAAACCAGACTTTGGTCAATATCTCGGAGTTGGGATCAACTAGAAAAAAAACTGAGAACGTCACTAAATTCTGCTTAAAAAAATGCTTCCAGAAAGTTTTTACGGAAATCAATAATTTTCATAAACAAAAAAGTTATGATGGTTTCACATTATTCCTCAAAATCGAGAATCGCCCTCTAGCGGCTAAACGGTTGAAGATATCAAAATGCGGTTTGCACCAATCAAAATTTCAAGAAATTTGAGCCTCGGAGTGGAGGGTTGATTTTTTTGTATCTTGCTCAGAAATTGATGTTTCCTATTAAAACCATCCAAATTCGGACACCCTGTACATTTCAACAAAATTTCAAATTGCTGATTTTTTTACAAAACCTTTATCCCAAACTTTGTTCAATGATTTTCGGATCAAGTGTGATATAGCCTAACATTTATTATTTACCTCGTTATTTACATATTATATAGATTAGAGATTTACCATTGAGGGGGAGTGTTAAAAATACCTACGTATAAAGGTAACTAGTCAACCTGTGCAACGGTAAATCTAGTTAGATAATATTCTATTGTTTAAATTTTATATAGTCACCCTTGCTTGTAAAAAAAAAATGTCATAGAGAATTGTCAACACGTTGTCAATAAGTCTGTCAATTAATTGTAATTTTTCCATAAAATCATTATAAAAACTCCTACTGTATTTTAATAAAAGTATTTAAAGGTGCCAGTGTTATCCACAATACTTTAGTCATGAGCTTTGAGCCTAGTCAGTATGTTTCTATTTCAGAATCTTGGAATCTTTGCAGCCTTTACATTTTTACGCGACTTGCAAACTCTTTAAAGCTTTAGAATATTCAGAGACTTTAGTCTTTGGGTCCTAAATCGATAAAGAGATTTTTCAAATTCTTCAGTTTTGAGATATGTATCTCGAGCTCCAAAAACTATACTTTGCATTCCTTCGGTTCAATGTTGTGCAGGACTCATTAAAGTATTTAAACTTCAGACTTTAATCAGCAGAATCTTAAGAATTACCTATCTGTAAAGTCTAGAGATTTGAATTTCCATAATTCTCAAAATCGCTTTATGTCTTTATAGGCTAGTCAAAATAGGGGGCTGGGGTAGAAAAAATTAGTAACAAAGTGATCTCTGCGGAAATGAGTAGTCAATAGGGTCCTTATTAATCCCTCAAAAATCGCACTTTGTCGCATTGGTAGAACTTGGAAAAAAATGGCCGCCATCTTGATTTTTTTGGAATTTATTGAATATTTCGTAAAGTATGCATTATATCAAAAAAACTCAAGAGGACTTTTTTGTGGAGAATCAAAAGTTACCTATAATGGGAGATATTCAAAGATCATCAGCTGCAAACGAAAAAGTTATTGACATTTATTTCATTTGGCAACATGGAATTTTTCAAAACATCTGAAAAAAACTCAAATAAGTATTATTTTTTTTTGGTGCAGAATTAAAAACTGCATTTAATAGAAGAAAAATTCAATAAATTTAATGATCTAAATATTTTTGTTGACAGGAAGCAAAAAAGCATATGACCAGAAAAACATTTGGGCAGGAAACTACCCAGACACAGACAGCACACAAAGTCTTAAAGACGTCTTTTTTAAGTCTGCATTCTGCATTACATCTGACCGTCTGAAGACCAAAAAAAAAAAACGTCTAAAAACTTCCATAATCAGATGTCCTAAATTCACATCTCAAGGATAACCGAACTATTTTGTTCAGCCAGGCCTAGAAGTGAATAATGGTTCATGTATTGAAGAGATTTAAAGACTTCTTTTAAAAATTTCGTTGGAGACGAAGAATGCCTTAGTTCTAAAGGCGTCTTTATAGGCAGACTTCTGAAAGGCGTTGGGTTTTGTAACATACGTCGTCTTTAAGATGTCTTTAAGACGCCTTGAAGATTTCCCACAGAATTCGTTTTTTATTTAATTTTAGAAGTTACTTGAAACCATTTAGAATCCTACAGAACACTTCAGAACTTCAATAATAAGCCTTTTCGAAAGTTCAAAACACTTAAAATTCAACTCATAATTTCCAACAGCATTGTGTAGCGCTTCAGAACATTTTGAAAACTTCAGAACCATTATTAGAATGGAGTATTTTGGAACAATTTAGAAACTTCAGGGATATTTTAGAACAATAACGATTCAATTTAGAGCTGGAAACCTTTTAGAATGCTTTTAAACCAATTCAACTTCAATAGGGCTCTAAATACTTAAAAATCTGTCAATCTGTCAAATGAACATTTTGAAATTTAACATGGATCCTTCGAAGAAGCGTACTTCCCAATTTAGAAATTACTGAAAAACTTCTAGAATGCTCCAGAACCCAGTCAACTTGGAACACTTTAGACAAACCTCAGAATTGTGCCAGAGAGCCTAATAAATAATAATAATAAAAATAAAATGAGTACCTAATAAATAATAATGAAATATTAACAAGAAAATGTTCCTCTTTTAATTGAAGTTCTTGAATTTTTATAATTTTTTTTATTCCAGGCTCTTGATTTTTCCTTACTTCTTTATCCTAAATTTTTTTTTCCATGTTCTTGAATTCTCATTATTGCTGTATTTTAGAATTTCAGGCTCTTGACTTGTTTTTCAATTTTCAGTCCTGTCTCTTCAAATAGTTTTCTACCAAAATGAATTTTTCGTATGTTTCCGTTTAAAGAAATCAATAATTTAAGACCCTAGAGTTTAGAATAGACAAAAATTGAAAGTTATAAAATGAGTAATAATAATAAAATATCAGTTCTGAAGACGTCTTTAGGCAGACGTCTGAAAGACGTTGGGTTTTGTAACACGACGTTTTTAACATGTCTTTAAGACGCCTTGAAGACGTAAGCCGACGTATGAAAGTCGTCCTGAATGTCGTTTTTGGACATCTTAGGGACGTCTTTAAGATGTCTGTGTACTGTATGGATAGACATTAAGTAATTCAAATAAATTAAATTCTATACTTTAAGGTTTATAAAAAAATCACTATACCTTCACAGTAGTGAAAGAGAAAGACTGGAAACTTGAGAACATGCTTTAAACCTTTGACACCAAACTTTTCGATAATTACTGTTGTTTTTTTTTATCTCAATATAGGTATCTTTAATCCTCTACTAACAGGCATTCTTAAGTTTTATTAGAAAAATCCATACATTTCGCGATTTTACCTTAAGTTCAAAAATTTCCAGATTTTTCAATAAATTAATTCCCAATAACTTTTTTGTTTTCCAGCTTATAGTGTTGAAATTTCTTCTATTATAAGTAACTTTTTATTCTCCACAAAAAAGCACTCTTGAGTTTTTTTGATATAATGCATACTTCACGAAATATTCAATAAATCCGAAAAAAATCAAGATGGCGGCCATTTTTTTTCAAGTTCCACCGATGCGACAAAGTGCGATTTTTGAGGGATTAATTAGGACCCAGCGACTACTCATTTTCGCAGAGATCACTTTGTTACTAATTTTTTCTACCTCACCTGCATAAACCTGCCTAGATTGACTATACTATTAGGACTGATTCTTTAGTAGTGTGTTAAGTTTCAGGCCTAAAATATTATTAGGAAACTTTTATTAAGCCTTTGAAATTTTTGGACTATTAGAATTTTAATCAGAAGCCTCAGAATCTTAGAAATCTTCAAATATTTCAGCATCTCAAGTTAATGGTTCTTCAAGCGGAAACTTTAAAGTCTTCAAGAACTTTCGAGTCTTTAGCCTTAGAACCTTCCAAGTCTTTAAAGTTTAGGTCTTGAATCTAGAATTCTAAATCATAAATTATCAAAAATGTTGAATAACGAAACTTTAAAGTCTCTCCAAACTTCTTTAAAGCTGACAAACAAAAGTGATTGACCATCTTTATAAACAAAACTAAATTTTTTAGTAGAACCCAGACAAACAAATTACGAGCTTTTTCCGTTCTAAAAGGTACAATGGACATTATTTGCCAAAGACAAACTTGCGCAACGATTCGTACATTGAAGGAATTACAGGTGAATTTTTTTTTTGTGGTACCCGATTGACAATTAAGAGCTTATCGAAACGAATCTAACAAGCTGAAAAAAGCCGCGCCTCTAGTGGGAGAACCACCTCAAGCAAGGTTAACACTGAAATAGTGTGTTGTATAAAAAGCAATGCCGGTGGTGAGAAATGTTTCAGTTTTGGGATTCGGGTTGTGGTGGAAATTCGAGAATAAGAAAATGAACAAAACTGTAAGTACCAGATAAGATTTAAAGTGTACTTCAATAGACATAGGAAAACTTGTAATTTATTAGTTAGAACTTTAGAAGTTCGGAATATATTTTCTGAGCTGATCATTTTTTTATTATTCTTGTTTGAAATATTGAACTTGTTTATATTTTTATCTATTTTTTTCTTGTCTTGGACATTTTTTTGATTTTTTTAAATCGAGAAGGCAATGGCAGCATTTGTTGAAAGTTTTCTCAATAGCGAGTCACCTCCGGGTTGGTTTTAATTCCAGGGTAAACGTAAAGGTAACAATGTTTACCCTGGAGCTATGCTTAACTAACCCGGGGGTGACTTGCTATTGAGAAACCGGCCCTTATAGAACTATTTTGATAGAAAACTAAAAGTTAACTTCTGGAATCTGAAGTTTGACCAATGGTTTTGGCTAAACCACACATTATGGAATAGATATATTGTAGGTTACTAGTTGGGTTGTGGTTACAGTTAGGTTACTACTGTTTGTGAAACTGACCCTATGAAATTCCAGAAGTTATAACTTTTACTTTTCTGTCAAAATAGTTTTATAATACCAATTACCCACCCTAAATAAGTTAAAATATCATAAAGAAAAATGTTTTTGGAAATTCTTGGAACATGGATGGAACCCCTAATTATTTTGTCAATTGAAATCAGCTTTCTTGACACAAATTATGTACTTACAAAGATTCTGGCATTAGAAATAGAGGAAAACCCTGGAAACTGAATGAAGTGGTGAACTGAATGATCATGAATATTTTCTTATCTCTCCTGGGCGCTCTATCGAAGATGTTATCGAAAATTCTAGAAATAATTCTATCTTGCCAGTCCACTCTCATTTCAATATTCAAATTATATCATTCAACTGACTTTTTTGATTCACCGTATATATTTTGTGCGAATGTGCGTGAAAGGAAATCAAAACGATTCCAGTTTTGTAACATTATTTTGATAAAAGCTGACCTCAAATAAACGATATTGTATTCTTCAATTCCTTACGCACAAAACAAGTCATTGCCATTTTATAAGAAAAGATTAGAGAGTTCAGAAGTCTTCTGTTTTACGAGTAAATATGGAAAAAATATATCAAATTGCAAGTTTGTATATTGCACAAAATTCAATTAAAATGTTTAACCCATAAGTTTCTTTTCCAGATTTTATCCTTCTTTGTAGCCCTTATAGCATCAGCATCTGCTGGAGGCTACGGTCTTTTGGGAGGTAGCAGCGGTTACGACAGATACGATTATGGTGGTCACTACGGATCGGCTGCCGTAGGTTACGGCGGATCTTCATACGGCGGAAATGGCTATTATAACAGACCAAATTATGTAGGAGGATACCCTAGGTAAAAATTGAAATTAAATTGAAATCCAATTGATGATTTTCATTTCCAGCACCATTGGAGGAGGTTATTATTCGGGTAGCGGAGGATACGGATCAAATCATGGAGGATACGGATCAAATTACGGAGGATACGGATCAAATTATGGAGGATCCGGATATGCAGGTCTTGGTAATGGTTATGCAGGTTATGATGGCTACAGGCCTGGCTACAGTGGTTACTCTGGTAGTGGATATCCTGGATACGGAGGCTACGTACCCGGTAAGTAACTTTTCAAAGACGATTTTTAATCTAATTTTTATTACCGGACAATAATACGTTTTCAGAAAGTTCATCAGTAGTTGAAATAGGCAATAAACACTCTGAATTTATGAGTAGCTCTACTTCGAGTTATGAGTCTAGTACTTCAGGTAACGGGTTTTTTTAGAGGAAATTTGAATATATTGGGCAATTTACGCATGCATGATGATGAATCATTGGGTAATTGCATGTCGATTTTAATCGTAATACTTTGTTGAAAGCTTATAATTATGCAAATAAGAGGAAACGCCTTAGTCATTTAAAAATAAGTAAACATCCCATTTTACACAAATAAATTATTGATATTCTCTGTGCGCGATATTATATTTTATTTAAATTAAGTTTATATTGGATGCGTGAAGAGTAACTACATAATATTAAATTGCTTATTTCAATGTTAATTATTATCGCTTTCAAGGGGAAGCATATACTTGCTAGACGAAAACAACAAAGTAAATTCTTTAGCCTTGAAGGGATATGGAAGTATTGCATAATGGAAATTATTGTTATTAAAGAATAGAGCATGTTACAATTTAATTAAAATGGGTTTGTCTCAAATTGCGAACTTTCAATTTGTAAAATTAGTGTTTTTACTTTAGGTTATTCTTCCGGATATGGAGGTGTTGGTGGTTACAGAACAAACTATCTCGGAGGTAGCCCTCATGGTTACAGAGGCTACGGATACTCCAGTTATAAAAAATAAGAAATAAAATTCAATTTCAGCCATGTGATGTATTAATTTTAATGTTAAAAGAATCTCTTTGAAAGAAAAGTTCAATAGTAGTTATGAATAAAGTAGTGTAGGATTGTTAAATGTAAGTGTTTATTTTGTTAAAGATAATAAACTGTTTGTTGAAATAACATTATTTGTTTTATCTCCTCGGGAAAAATTTAAGTCATTATCTGGTGATTTATTTAAGTAATCTGTCCCGTTTCTAGCAAAGTCGTTCCTTACATCTTCTCATAGTTACTTCAAAAGTAAATGATGAAAATCTTTAAGAACAATAAACTAGGAAGACGAAAGTATTCTTTAGTTCTTCTGTTGTCTCGCAAAAACTTTGAGAAACTTCAACCAAAAATTATATTTGGAAACTGTTCATTCAATATTTTCAGTGGATGTTGGTGGTAGTTTGTAGATAAACTTTAGCCTTACTCAAGTGACCTGATGCCTGACGGATATCTTCAAAATTGCGTCAGGATTATGTCAATCTCAGAAAATATAGAGGAAATATGAATAAATCAGCAATCACAGATTTTTTTCAAGCAACTGAACTCTATGCCTACCATTATTAATTAGTGATGAGCTGATAGATTCTTCTTTCAACATCGCATTTGGTCAACAATAATTATTGTCGTTCAAGCAGGTGCTTTGGACAATTTGGATAAGTGAATATTAATGTTGCCTATGTCTTCTGCAGATATCGATCGAGATGTGAGGGAAAAATTGTGAACTGTTTGTTCTTATATTTTCGTAAAATAAAGTCTTTCTTTCGATTGAGGACATTAAAATGTCGGGGAAGTTAGTAACACACTCAAAGCAGGATCCCTGAAAAATGTTCCTGCTTGCGCTGCTATGGTCCCGCTTCATCCTGCTTCAAACCGCAACCCAGCAACACCCACCATTTTCCAAATATATCGATTTCCATTTTGGTTGCTAACTTCACCCTTGGCAACACATTGGAAGCAGGATCGCTGAAACAGGTTCCTGCTTGTGCTGCTATAGTCCTGCATCATCCTGCTTCAAATCTGTCCCCGGCAACACTATTACTATTTTCGAGATACAGCGATTTTTATTTTGGTTGCTAACTTCACCCTTGGCAACACTCTGGGAGTAAGATCGCTCAAACATGTTCCTGCTTGGGTTGCTATGGTCCTGCCTCATCCTGTTCCAAATCACACCTCGGCAACACGTACTATTTTCGAGATACAGGGATTTTCATTATAGTTTGTAATTTCACCTTTGGCTTGGCAATACATTGAAAGCAAGATCGGTCAAACATGTTCCTGCTTATGTTGCCATGGTCCTGCCTCATCCTGCTTCAAATCACACCCCAGCAACACTTACCGTTTTCGAGATATAGGCATTTTCATTATGGTTGGTAACTTCACCCTTGGCTTGGCAACACATTGAAAGCAGGATCCCTCCAAAATGTTCCTGCTTGCTGCAATGGTCCTGCCTCAAACTGCTTCAATCACCTCAGCAACACCTAATATTTGAGATATACACACTGGTAGCAATACAAGAGTCTAGTTGTAGGAGCACGGCGAGCTTAAGACACCATTGCCAAATGTATCGTAATGAGTGCTTGTCTCTGTATGATGGAAAAATCTAATCCAAACTATCTCAAACTAGTCAAATTAACTCGTACTTTTGTAATGAATGCTATGCTTTGTATTTTGGTATTTTAGACGAGAAGAGCTAATCCAAACTAACCCTTCCTCGTAGTGAATGCTATTCTGTGTATGTTGTTCTTTCCATGAAGGTATTTTAAACGAAAAGATCTAATTCAAAGATTGAATCAAAACTAACCCGTCCTCTTAATAATCTTTAGGAAAAAAAGAAAAATGAACGCCCTACGGAAGCGCAGGGAGGCCATCTATCCCAGGACGGGTTAGTTTCAATTCAATAATTGGATTAGCTCTTTTCATTTAAAATACCAAGACACAGCTAAAAGCTCCAATTCATTACAAAGGGACGGGTTAATTTGGGTTAGTTATATTTGGCAACGGTGTCTCTAGAGGCGGTTACACACGGACGTGGATGGCTTAATACATATACGTGCATACATCAACGTGCAAACAACAACGTGCATGGCGCCTTTGTACAGACGCTCGCACAAAACTGCAATCTTGCTATTCTTGCTACAGTATTCCGAGTGTTTATACAAAATTACACATTCCAAAACGCGACGGTATTTTGCATACACATTGATGTTTTTGTTTGAGCATTCATGTATGTGCGTACATGTTTTCAGACATCCACGTCCGTGTGTAACCGTCTTTGCTCTCCCTATTCCTACAACTTGACTGTTGAAATGCTACCAGCGTGTATCTCAAAGATATTAGGTGTTGCTGGGATGAAAACTGAAGCAGAATGAGGGCAATGAGGCAGGATCATATTAACACAACCAGAAACATGTTTGCGTGATCCTGCTTTCAATGTGTTTTTAAGCCAAGGGTGAATTTACGAACCATAATGAAAATTCCTTTATCTTGAAAATAGTACGTTTTGCCGGGATGTGATTTAAAACAGGATAAGGCAGGACCATAGCAACACAAACAGAAACCTGTTTCAGCGATCCTGCTTTCAATGTGTTTCCAAGGGTGAAGTTAGCAACCAAAATGGAAATCGATATATTTCGAAAAGGGTGGGTGTTGCTGGGTTGCGGTTTGAAGCAGGATGAAGTAGGAGCATAGCAGCACAAGCAGGAACATGTTTCAGCGATGCTGCTTCGAATGTGTTAATAATTTCCCCGACATGACATTGAGGCTTCTTTTTTTGATTGTTTCTGCTATTTTGTTGTAACAATTACCTACTGTTGCATTTTGATTCTTTTGCTGGTAGGATTTTTATTGTATCATCCTTTTGGAACTTTATTTGAGACCTATGTATAGGTATGTACATAGGAAACTGTATGATTATTGAAAAAGTGTACATAGGATTGAATTCATACTAACATGGAAAGGTTGAGGGGGTAGTCAAAAACAGGAAAATACCAGTGGCGTACACTCGATCGATCTACGAATGGAGAACCGCAGACACCCAGAAAAATAGTTTCTTTCCGTACAAATATAAACTTTCTGTGGACAATTTAAGATGTAGAGTCACGTAGAAAAGTACAAAATATCTGCAAAGGTAATAGTGTTGAGTGGCTGGAAAGCGGAAAGGACTTTCCTCACAATCTACAATCTAAAAAAGAAAATGTATCAGTTTTAGCTTGATAACGACTAGAGTCAAAACGTCGCAATTATTGAAATTAAAGGTTGCAAAAATTAAAGTTTAAGTAGATAACTATTGAAAAATATAATTTCATAAAGGTCCTTATCCTTATACGCGAAAATTTTCAGTTCAAGGCTAAAAATGTATTTGGGCAAAGCCCACTCAAATCGAAATCTGGGTCAAACCTGCGATAAATATTTGCCAAAAATCGTTTCAATGATGAATTTGGCAAAATTGGAAATATTACTTAATATCATTAAAGTGTGGGAAGTATGCGCAAAATACCTACTGCGTAGGAAGAGGTATTGGTGATCTACTTTTCGCCTTTTGAAAACTTTCACTTTACCAAGTTGAGATGTCTATTAATAAAGATTAATCAGAATCAGAACCAGATCAAACAACTATTCTGAGGAACATAGTTCGGATCCAGATGAGATTTGTATCTGAAGTGATCAATTTTTTTACAATCAAGACTCATAGAGCGCTCCATCATTATTTAAATAAATGTAACTTTTTTTATATTTCAATATAATTACTATATCTATTTTAGATATCTATAGCTTTAATAAGTGAATCAAGTTCAAATTTGTAATCCATTTAGAGGGCATTCACATAAAAAAAAAATAATCAAAAGAGTACCTACGCAAATAAAAACTAATATAAATTAGCATGAAGGTCGAAAATTCACACGCACCATTAATGAGACAAAATTCCCATTATTGTGATATAACATTTATGCAATAATATTTTGCAAGATTTCTCTCCTTTCTTCGCCCATCTAACCATATACCCACAATCATTTTGAGATTCATGAATATCAGAGTTTAGTTATGCACAAATTCGTTTTCGGTTTAGTCGTTCACCGAGATGAATAATTAGTTTTACATGATTATATGTTAATTTTTGCTTAATTTTGTGTTATACTTTTAGTAAAATGATAATTGATGTAAGTAGGTACACATTATAGAACTCTAATTTTGACTCAAGTAGGTATATATAGGTACCCATTGAGAAAGGTAAAATAGATGAAGCTTCAAATGATGTAATAAATAATAAAACATTCTCAAGATAGGCTTTAATAAGCAAGCCTGGATATATAATTACATTGAATTAAAATTAATTAACAATATAATAAACACCTTACAATCTATAGTCATTTGGTAACTCTTTCCATATATGTATAGTAGCCAAATATGCAAAATAAAAATGACACTTTTCAAATTATTCTTCGGTAAATGAATGAATATTAATTTATATAGAATAATCAACGGAAGACATAAAACAAATAAGGCCAAGTCCAAATGATAAGGTACCTACTGTCTTAATTTAAAGAGGTACTGAAGCAAATTTCCGCATTAAACTCAACAATACAAAAGAAATGAAAATTGATTTAGCCGTGGCACCTGTCTAATACCAAATAGGACACCTTTAAATTATTCATTGCCATTCATCTGTGGTTGTAGTTTTAATTACAAAATTATACAAAATGTGCGTGCCAAAATAAGGGAATTAGCCATATCATAAATAATTGGACGACATAATAACTATTGTTTTGTTTTATTATCAAGGTTTATTTTGTAGATAGCTCATTGCGTAGCATGGAGTGTTATTCTCACACAATATTTGTCTCACGGGTATGGAGAAAATAGCAAATTTTTAGGAAATGACTTAACCGACGAGGAAAGACATTTGGGTAAAAGAAAACGACCCGGTTACCAAGGAGGTATTTTGTATGCCTACTGCGTTTTTGTTACTATAAACCTTTTTTTGCAGGCAATCAAGGTTCAAGCCCCTGCAACTTTGGCGGTAGACCAAAAAACGAAGGCTCTGGCAGGACTTTCTTTGATTTTCAATACTTCAATGTAGAATATAACAATCAGCTTAATATAGATTGTGGTCAACAGGGCAGCTACCATCCCCAATATCCAGTTCAACCTGCTCCAGTACATGAGATACATCAACATCATGGTGGTGCTCAAGCTGGACACAAACCACCACATGGTAAAGATTTTGAAATTTTTCCATGTTAAATTAGTTTAGTATTTTCTACTTTGTATTTTAGGAGGTGGAGGGCACAGGCCGCTTCCCAAGCCTCCAAAACCAGGTAATATTTCCAAAAAGTATAAAAACAGACTTACAAATGCATATTTTCAGGAAGCGGGTCGGGTCAATTCAGTGGAAACGGCAATGGATTGTTTGGAGGTTTTTTCAATGGAGGCAACAACAAACCGAACAAACCCAACAGGCCATTTCAAGGAGGAGCTTTTAGTCAAGCTGCTTCTGAAGCAGGAGAAGGTAAAATCAAAAACACTTCACAATATTTTGAATCAGATTATATCCAATCTATAAACATAGGTGGCAATACAGGACCATTTGCAGGAATATTTCCATCGCCTCAGCAATTTGCTTTAGGTTTGTCCGATGGCCTTCAAAGTTTCATTGGCACCATACCAGCGATTGGTCAAAGTTTCCAATCGATTTTGCCCAGTTTTAGCGACTTTCAATGGCCTCAACTACCTCAATTTAATCCAGGAGGTACCCTACCTTTTACTTATACATGAAAATACAATCAGACAACAAAATCATTACACTAAAATAAATATTTTTACACTCAATATTAAGCCAACACAGGACCAGTTACCTTTGCTCCACTTTTTCAAGGCTCCAGCAGTTCTGTAAACAATTTCAACCGGCCACCGCCAATTTTCAATCCGGCAACGACTCCTCCATCTGTAGGGGTAGCAACTACCGCCCCATTTACTACGACAACCATAGATCCCGACGATATAATTTACAGTGACGAAATTAAACCGGTTAATGAAGAACTGGACCCTATTACAGATCCTTATACCAACAAGGGTTAGAGTTTTGAGTGTATTTTAGTACTAAACCAATCATAATCCCATATATTAACAAAAAACCTAATTGTTTCAGGTCACTTGGGTCCTGGTCAATACCTCGTTGTTTCTAATCCTCATTTAGGCAGCTACACTCATCAGCTAGGCGCTTTTAATCCTACTAATTTGTATAACAGGTGGCAACAAGGGATTAGGGATGTTGTGCAAGAGTTTGGCAGTTACTTTTAGAAAAGGTGATTAACATTTCATTGTAATCTAATTAATAAATGATTTCTCATGCAAATTTCAGGCAATCGAAGAAGATACAACCAAAGAGGAAGATCATTTTATCAGAATAATCAACCACATTATAATAGCAGATCACGGCAAGAAACTTACCGAAATTCACCATCAGATTCCTATAGAGAGCAAGGCAGAAGTTTTAGTTTTCCATCATAGAAATTATCATTTTTTTATTGTATAAATTTTATTTAAATATTTCAATTTAGGAGTTTATTATATATAAAGGCCTTTACACCCATATTTGTTTTCGTTGTAGGTTTATACATAAAATATTTGAAACAAAAATAAACCTAAAATAATTGTATAATGCCGAATTCTAACAAAGAAATCGAAGATCCATTACGAACAGTGGCTCCTATTTCCAATAAATCGCATGGGGTAGTTAAAAATTCAAACATACTGAAACGAGATTTCAATAAAAAATTGGTCAAGTATTTAGGTTCTCGTGCCTTCATTATTAGGAGAATTTGGACTCACCTTAAAACAATAGAGCCTGAAATCTCAGGTTTGTTCAAAATCTTCATGCGTTTTCTGGCAATATAGTTCAAAGTATAGTTGTATTTCACGTCTTCATCTCTGAGTAAATATACTTCCAAGATCCCCAAGTTTTCTGTAGCTAAAAGTCTTTGTTCACCTACAATAATATTCAATTTGGCTTATAAATTCACACAAATATTGTCACTTACTTAGTAATTTAATCTCTTTCATAGCACCACTCCTCAAACATGTAAGTAAAGTTACATTTAAAACAGCTTTATCCCCAATATGTGCCTTTTTGGTCATAAAATATACTCCAATTTTTCCATTTAATTTAATATCACAGGCAAATAGATTATGTACAAAAGTGGAACTGGGCTTTTCTAAATTATCATTTGAAATAATACAAATATTTTTGGCATCAAAAAATCCTCTCGAGAGGCACTTGCCAGTGTTTTTCTGCACTATAGAATAATCGCTTATGGCGTTTGGGTTTTCAGGATTCAATAAATTAGTAGTTTGTTGTTTTTGGATATAGAGATTGTAGTAATTCTAAATATTACGATTTAATAACAGGCTTAAACAACATAATTCTATAACTTACAGAATCTAATCCAACATGAAAATCTGTCTCAAAAAAATCATTAACAGGATGAGTGTAAAGGAAAGGCCAAAGGCTGGCCCAAAAGGCATCGTCCCTATTTAAAAATTTACGAAAAGTAGATTCAGATGAGACTTTTGCCATTGTTTCATGAGTCCATCCTGGAGCAAAAATTGCCATCGACAAATTGTGTTTTGATATCAATTCTACAGCCTGGAAAAATTAAATTCTAATATGTGTGAATCAAAGATTTATCTTTACTTTGTAAGTATTAAATTGTCCACCACCAAAGACACCACGACCAAATACATCAACTCCTACAAAAACATCAAATCTTCTAGTTCCTGCCATTGCTACAGTATTGATCAATTTTTCTTCATTCCAACCATAGTTGAGAAATATTCCATCACAACTGTCAAAAAAGCATCTGAAAATTGCACTAAGTATTACATAAAAGCCCTTTTTTAATTTTAACATACCTGTTTTGATCATTCAATTGATCTTGCCACCTAAGTAAACCGTCTTTAGTAACACTATCATACCAAATAACTACACTTTCACTATCATGACGATGCGTTTGCTGTGTTAACAGTGCAACAAATTCCTTTAAAATATAAGCATTATTGACGGGGTTTTCGATATTCAAAAGCCAACCATCAAAACCAAAAGTTTTTTGAATCTCCGTCAGCTGGTAGACAAATTCTCTCATTTGATCCAGCGTTTTAAATATTTGTTCGTTGCATATTTGAACGCCGTCAGAGTTTTCTGTAATTATTGTACCTGGAAGATATATTAGTATTTTGGTGGCAGTTATTTTGGCTATTTTCCTACCTAAAACTTTTACTCCATTTTTATGACCAGCATTCACCCAAGCCAAAGGTGGAATGGTTAGGAAATGATGGCTGAAGTATACAAAATAATCAATTTGTGACCAATTGTAGAAAGTATAGCCATCTGTCGCTAGAGTATTATCTTCGGCACCTTCAAACGGAATATATCTAGGAGGAAAAATTACATATAGGTAGGAAGGAATTACATCTTTGAGCTATGAATAATCTTCCATACTCATTTTCTCAGTATTGAATGAAAATTGTTATAATTTTCAAAACTTTTGATCAAGGTGAATAGTTTATTGAATTAAGTTGTGCAGTTCTTAGGAAGAATTTTCAATGGAGTACTGTTCTTTTAGGAGACCCAATAGAATCTACTTGATAAGGGAGCATGAGCTTATTTTAACAAATAGATAAACCTTTATTTATTATGCTAATAAATAGATGAATAAAAGATATTCTCAACTCACGAGTCTGAAAGATATCCTCCTTTATAATCGTGACAAACCAAAGTTTTAGGTACTGTTCGACGATCCAACCGAGGTCTGGCATAGAAACGGTCTTCGCTCATGTGACAATCAGAAACAGCGTTCCTAATAACATAGCCGGAACGTTTTTTCAAAGGAATCACTCTATTTACCCACTCTGGTGGATTGGTTAAACAATCTTCAATGTCGGAATGTTTGGAAATTGGCCGGCACTGACTGAAAGTGAAGCTAGGTAACATGCTGGTTTTCGGTTCGGCTAAGGTTGAATCCTAAAATATTAATCAACTATCATAACCAATAAACACATCATTCACATAACGTTTATATAAATGTAAGAATTTTTATGTCAAGTTTATGTTTTGTAACTATGTATTTATGTAATGTTAGATAGAGAGTTTACATATAACTAAATGATGTGCCTACATTTTACCTAAAATTTTAGGTAACAGTTGTTATAAAATATTTGCCAGCAAATACCAATAATATTTACGTAAAATTCATATAAACTTTCTTAAATAATTATGGTTTACATCAATGTGATCTAAATTTCACATCTACTTGAGCATGACATTATGAACTAAATTTACATTTTACTTAAAAAATACCTCGAAAAATACTTAATCATTTCATAATTAGGTGAAGTAGTTATGTAAATTTGTTGAATCAATTTCATAAATCTCAAATAAATAAAATGAACCATGTATTTAAAATAAACTTTAGGATTTTTTCAATGTTTTAATTTTCAATAAAAATTATTATGACTCACCAGCTTGTTTATAATTATCGTTCTTATGTCCAATACGTACTTACCAATAAGTTATCACTTTCCTTCTCTAAATTATTCATATCACTCTTGTTGCAGTCTTATCAATTGAATGTGTAAAAATTCTTTCACTGCACTTTAGTATACAGGGTGAGGTAGGTATGTAATTTCCGGTAAAATCTGCTTTATAATTTCTGCAAAATAGTTTCGATAATGCTTACATTTTAAAAAAAAAATACTTCCAGAACTATTTATTCACTACATAGACAAACTAAAATAAGTTACTTAACTATTTTTGTACAGAAGCGAATTTGGGTTTTATAATTCTGACATATAGGTAAGTCAGAATTCTGAAATAAATCATAAATATGTAAGTCAGAATTCTGAACTATAAGTCAGAATTTTGATATAGAAAGTTAGGATTCTGAGTTATAAGTCAGAATTTTGAAATAAAAGTCAAAATTATGATAATTTCTGGACTTGATGTTGTGCAAGCCAAACGGTCAACATCAGTTAGATAAATAGGCCGAATATTTGTCGGAAGGCTACATTCAATAAAGATGTCTAATTTTCTCCAAATACACGGGCCAACAAGACGACTATGACACTCAGATCCCTACCTACCTACTGCTGGGTTTCAGCTCCTCTTTATGGCCAATAACTGGTAATAAAATGAAAATTCGTTTCTCTTATTTGAATGAGCAGAAACATGGATTTTGAACATATCTAATATGTCTCTATCTCTATCATATACTAATCACATGCTTGCTCACAAGCAGAGAGCAGAAAATGGAAAAACAAAGACGGGATTCAAACCAAAATATATTTTTCTTTTTTTTTTTATAACCAAGGAACGACTGGAACGAGTCAGGTTTCGGTCTTGTTTCTCAGAATTGTTTTATTTCAGAATTCTTACTTTTATATCTTAGAATTCTGACTTTATAACTCAGAATTTTGCTTTCCATCTTGAAATTCTGACTTATATCACAAAATTCTAAGATAACTCAAAATTCTGACTTATAACTCAGAATTGTGACTTATATCTCAGGATTCTGACTTATATGTCAGAATTATCAAACCCGGCACTTCTACGCTTATTTTGTATGCCAGAGTAATATTAAATTATAATTTAGTTACAGTAGGTACAATTTGTGATTCTTCCAGAAAGGAAAATTTAAGCACATAGCTATGGTATATCTTCTTTTTGCTCTGATCTGAATTAAAGTTTCTTACTTAGATCATCCTATATAAAACACCCACTTTTTGATAAGAATACTCTGTGAAACGGATGAACTTCCTTTCACACGTGTTAGTTAAATTTGATAAGAACTTATCAGTTTATTTTTAAGTAATTGAATAATTTTAAATTCACAATTTAATTTTTTTCAGCAGAAACAAACAAAAATAATAAGTAGGTATTGAAAAACCAGAATGAGGTTAGAGTTATGTTATGTATTTTCAGCTGTTTGTTATACAAAGAAGCTAAAGTACTCAGCAAATGTAGGTAGGTGAGGTAGGTACTTACTTAAAGTATTAAGTATTCAATATTTAAAATATACTTAGTAGGTACGAATGTACTTGTGTATTTTACAAGTACTTAGAAACAGTATAAGTAGCAGATACACATTATTTTCAGTATAAAATAGGTAGGTATTTAGAGTATTACGTTTTTCATATGCATTTAAGTACTTAAACTAAGTTGTCACATAAGTACATTTCTAAAATTGTATTGATCATTGTTTCGTACGTACTCTCCTTATTCTCATCAAAAGTACTTAAGTAAGTGAAATACGTAAAGTATCACTGAATATTTTACTTTGAGTATATTTTCATATTCAGTATATCATCTCTACTGTTCTCCCAGAAAGTTAACGATGTGTATCAATAGAAGGTTCTTTTCATTTCCCAGTAATGCCAAGAACTGTATACATAGGTATCCATATATAGGCTAGAATAGCCTCTACTAGCCTACACTTTTCTATTATCAGGAAAGTGCTCTGTAAATCTTGCGAAGTTCACCCATGAATCATAAATATTCAAATCTGCGATTGGTCAAACCATGTGCTCAAGGTATTTAGATCATGATACATTACATACATACTGGATATTGGTCAACGGTCTCGAAATTATTGTTAAGAACCGATAGAGCTAGTTTAGAAGCAATCCATAATCGATTATGGAAATAGACAGTTCTAGAACAGCACGAGTTCGGCTTGCTCACTCCGTGCACTCGGAGTGACTCCATTCGAACTCCAGCAGTTCGGGTTAAGGTTCGGGTATTGCTTTTTACGGTATTAGGGGTGACTCCATTAGCTCTATTCACTCCACTCCAACTTCGCGCTGAATAGCCGAACGCACCCTGTCTCGAACTCATGGTTAAGCCTTGCCACTGTTCTTGTTAAATCCCTAGAACCGATAGAGCTATAGTTCAGAATCGATCTAGAACCGATTCTAATGAATGGAACAAGAAGTGGTAATTACAAATTAAAAGAATCGGTTCCTGAATCCTTAATCATAATCGGATATTATTCTTGAAGTGTCTAAGAAATGTGCTATATTCAACCCGAACACCCAATGTCTTCGTTCCAACTTCCAACACAGTAGGGCTGGGATCATGACAAGTAGAATTCTATACTTTCATGACGTCACCCGCTACCTATTTATCGCGTACAGTACAGGCGATGATGACGGTTGCTAGGCCTGACGTCATGAAAGTAGAATTCTAGTGCAATTTTACTTATCGTGATCCCAGCCCAGGAAAGCGTGCAATGAACCGTCACGATTCTGCGCCAGCCCCAAATTTGTGCCTAAAAAAATAGAATCCCGAAATACAGAGTGAATTCAAAAGATTTCGCGCATTCTACGGACAGTTCCCTGGAGAACAGAAATTGAAGGAACCGTATTTGCAACTGTTGCGAACTTACAAATTTCTAAAATCGTTAGAATTAAGCTGGAACTATCAGAACAGTTTAAAACAAGTTTGAAACCGATGGTCCGAACGAAGAATTTGTCGAAATTCCGAACTTGAGATTCTAAACCGAAGGGTACAAACATGTAATTGGTGCGGACATGAAACAAGCGTAAGCGGAGTTCGATTCTGAACTAATGGCGTTCCCGATTGGTAGATCTAGTGCGGAACTAGTGCAATTTTTTCTATTCCTGTCTTTTTCTTCTACAAGTTGATTAAAAGGATGCAAATACACTCAGTGCGCACTGAATCTACCAATCGGAAACGCCATATATGTCTGAACAAATCTCGAACCGGTTTGCAAACGCGTTCGAAGCCCGTTATTGAATTGGTTTTCCTATCCTTAACCCTAGTACTCATAACCGCGAAATTCGCTGTTTTTGGACATTGCTTCAACAATTTGACGTTTGATTCACGCAAAACGTCAGGTTGTCGAAGCAATGTCAAAAAAAAGCGAATTTCACTGTTATGAGTACTAGGTTTTAAAGAGGGTGTGCGCCAAAAAAACAACTTCATCTCAAAAAAAAAGATTAAAAAAATCTAAGAATAACAGTGAAAGCCGCACCCCTCTATGACAAATAATATCGAAGATATGGCTCTATGAAGGTACCGCATCTCACCCTATGACGTCACGAAAGCTCAAGTGTCGCACGTGAAAGTGAAGTAAATTGAATTTACATATATTTTTCCTGTGTCACCTGCAATAATCTAAACTAAAACCACGCGTGCAGGGAACAACCAAATTAACAATGCGGAGCGCGGCTGGACGAAGCTCTCGTGACGTCACACACACTTTAAAGCGGTATATCTCAGCGATGGTTTATTGAAGAATAACGAGGTTAAAGCAGTTATTCTTAGATTTTTTTACACTAAAACTTTAATTTTTGTCGCACACCCCCTTTAATGCAGATGGAATACCAAGAATAATGTAAATCTAGTTAGTGCAAACGGAGCATAATTAAAACAGTCAAAGTAGTTCGAACAGAGTCAGTGCAATTGAAACAGTCAGAGTAGAATTACCAAAAATCCAAAATTAATTTTATGTCATACCAATACATTATTGTGTTTTTATACCTTAGATACCATCTATATAATTCATTACTTTATGCCCGTGCGGGCATAAAGTACACATTATGGCCCGCGCAGGCATGACATAAAAGTTTGTATGCACCACGGGTACTAATAGATATATACCCTCGGGCAACTTACGAACCCTCGGGCCAGAGGCCCTCGGCTTTGTAAGACTGTCGCCCTCGGGGCATAATCATCTACTTAGTACCCTTGATACATAAATAACTATTATGTCATACCAATACATTATTGTGTTTTTATACCTTAGATATCATCTACATAATTCATTACTTTATGCCCGTGCGGGCATAAAGTACACATTATGTCCCGCGCGGGCATAAAGACGCAAAAAAACAGTTTTCAATTAACTTATTCTTTATTAACAAAATATAAATTTACGCTTATAAACATATTATTTTTGTCAAAAAAATGATGATGTTTGCACACTGATGACAATTTGCGAAATGACACTTTTTTCCCAGGTATTTATTATTCACAACCAACTGGTATGACATAAAAGTTTGTATGCACCACGGGTACTAAAAGATATATATATATACCCTCGGGCGACTTACGAACCCTCGGGCCAGAGGCCCTCGGCTTTGTAAGACTGTCGCCCTCAGGGCATAATCATCTACTTAGTACCCTTGATACATAAATAACTATTAAAATTAGCCTTCTGTAATGAATAAATTCATTATGCCCTCATGAAGCCTAGTACTCATAACTGCGAAATTCGCATTTTTTTGACATTGCGTTGAGAATTTGACGTTTTATGCGTGTATCAAACGTCAAATTGTCAACGCAATGTCAAAAAAATGCGAATTTCGCAGTTATGAGTACTAGGCTTTATGCCTCAATTCTCACTTGCGCGAAATTCACTCTTTTTTTGACATTGCTCCGAATGGAAATTGCACCAACCTTTATTTCGGTGTTTCATGCTCCTGAAGTCCGAAATCGGTGAGGGTTAAGACGAGAGCGTTCCAGAGCTACTTATGTCGAACAGTTCAAGAGCGTCACACTCCAGGAGTATGATACTCTAACAATTTAGGAAAGGGTGGAAACCTTCAGAGTTGACAAGTCATTTTAAAATTAATTTCCTTCAAGATTCAATAGTTGCATTCCTTTCACACCTAGGAGGAGCTCCGGAACAGCTCCGGGGCGTTACGCGCTTATTCCTTTTGAAAAGTGTTTGTTGCACCTGAGTGCTCAAGCCCGACTCAAACCATTTAAATGCATGAAAGCTAGCACATCTGTTCCTTTCAAATCGGAGTCGACTAACACCGGAGCGAGTAGCTCTAGTGTTTCCAGCTCTTGAAAGAAATACAACTAAAGTCAAGTCACATGACAAGAATCCACTCTACTCCGTTCCAACGCCAGAGTACAATCTCGAACCAAGATGTTATCGATTATCGAACGCACCGCATTGTTCGGAGTCGGTCAATCATTATTTACAAATTATGAAAAAGCCATAAAAAGCTAGATTAGAAAAGTTCAAATTAAAGAGAAAAGGTAAACATAGGCTTGAACAACAAATTAAAATACAGAGAAATAGTATGTCGAAGAAAAACTTAGGAAGTTTTTTAAAAAAAATGGGAACAATGCAATTACAATTCTTATTTTAAATGCTTTTGCTTAGTGACTATAACTGGGGTTTCATAGTTTATTAAAAGTAGGTAAGTTGTAATGAATGCAGCTATTAATAGAATAAATACTTATTTGTAACAAACTCATAACAATAACAATACTTATTTCAAATTGCTTCTTATCAGTAAACTAATTTATGAACATAATTATTACTCCTATCACCTATTTTTTACCTATTCTTCACTCATTTTAATACCCATCCATCATGTAAAATTTACATAATCCATTACAAGGTCATCTTTTTCAAGGTATCTTTTTTTGTGCCCAACTACTTACAAAACACAATCCATTAGATCACCCAAAAATTATGGAACATTCCGTGAAGTACCAGTGTGAAAATGAGGAAGACGATAATCTTGAAGAAAACGATGAAGAAGATGTAAGTAGAGAATTTTTCCATTTTTATTATTCAATTATTTGATCAGATTTACAAAGCCCAGTATTTAATCTTAGGGCCAGTTCCTTCATAGGAAATCACCCCCGGGTTAAGCTTAAGTATAACTCCAGGGTAAACAGTAAACATTGCAACTGAACATGTTTAACCTGGAGTTAAAATTGAGGGCAGAGGGCCCTGAGCCCAATACTATACAAACCAGATTACCCTTGCCTCTAAAACATATTATAATGAATTGCTGGAAGACATAAGAAACCTTAATGAATATTCTTTGTTTGTTAAAAAATTAAAAGTTTATTTGGGTAAAAGTTAAACCAAAATTTTTGTAATTGTTATAAATTAGTTTATAAATTTATTGTTTATGTCAGGCTAATGAAAGAATTAATTTTAAGTCATTCTTGAGGCCAGTTACCAGTTACTACAGAGAATTGTTATAGATATTACATATTGTATATTATGATTAATTTATTGAATTTATTATTGTTTCAGTTTGAAGATGCCTGTGATTTCACTTCTGCTGATCTGTGAGTAATAATAATTTACTCATAATATTCTTTTTAATTTTAATTTCTTGTTCTAGTGGCGACATGACCTTGGAAAGAGCGCTTGACGAAGCCAATCAAGCTATTTTTTATTTTTTCAATAACCAGTTCATCGAAGCCAAACAACTAATGACTCCTTAGTAAGTCATATTAAATTTCAACTGAATTTTAAATGTGCTAATTTTTTTTTTAGTGCAAATGTCTCTATGTATCATGCTTTAGGCCACTCAATATTTCTCTTCCTAGAAGCAATACTAACAGTAGAGCCTGCAGCCATAAGAGTGGCATCGAAATCATTGAAACACTCACTTGTTGTTTGCAATAGATTCAGGAAAAGAAGTACTATAGGCGAATCTCTTGGCAAAATGGTTAAAAAGACTCATTATGAACAATATACTGAAATGGAAGCACATGCGGAACTTTGTTATGCTGAATGTTTATTGTTGAAATCTATGCTTACTTTTATGGAAGATGAAACACTTAGTAGTTTTATTAAGGCTGGGATTAAAATAAGATCTTGTTTTAATTCTTACAAGTAAGAAGAATTTTTACAAATAAAGCGAAATTAAGGTCTAAAAAATTAGCACAACGAAAATGGCACACATTAGAAAAACTAGAGTACTAAATTCGATCCTATTTAGTGCTAATTTAGTACAAAAAAAAATAATTTAAAACTCTATTTTTAAAAAAATTACGTGCATGTGTGCCAGCCAGATTAAGCTGGCACATTCTAGTTGGATAAGGTCGAATCTTTTAAAATCTAGAACCTCATATTTAGTGCTAATTTGATACATTCATGGCACGCCTAAAAAACTAATAATGATGTATTTATTACGAAATTGCCACGGAAAAGTGCTAAATTAAGACTTGAATTAGCACACATACATCGAATCGACCGCGCGAGAACGGAATTTGCATGCACATATTTAGTGCTAATTTAGTACCTCAAAAACGACAACCTGAAACGAACTAGTATCACATCAGCACAGAGCTAACCCAAAATAATCCAAACTAACGTCTAAAATTAGCACTAAATGTGTGCTAATTTAGTACTCTAGTTTCATCACGTCACCGGTGATAATGTATGTTAACTTAAACACTAAGCCAGCACACAAGTGCTAACTTTGTGCTGATGTGATACTTATTCGTTTCGGGTCGTCGTTTCTGAAGTACTAAATTAGCATTAAATATGCGCATGCGAATTCCGTTCTCGCGCGGTCGATTCGATGTATGTGTGCTAATGCAAATCTTAGGTTAGCACTTTTCCGGGGTTATTTCGTAATAAATACATCATTGTTAGTTTTTTAGGCGTGACATGAATGTACCAAATTAGCACTAAATATGAGGTACTAAATTTTCAAAGATTCGACCTTATCCAACTAGAGTGTGCCAGCTTAATCTTAAGCTGGCACACATGCACGTAATTTTTTAAAAAATAGAGTTATAAATTATTTTTTTTCGTACTAAATTAGCACTAAATAGGCTCGAATTTAGTAATCTAGTTTTTTTGATGTGTGCTATTTTCGTTGTGCTAATTTAAGGAACCAGCGAAATTACTATTGACATATTTAGGGATTGCCAACAAATCCTCCAAAAAAGACACTGGGAAAATGAAAAAATCAAATTACATTTTGAAAGTGGTGTAAAAATGGGCATTGGAACTTTTAATTTAATGATATCCATGCTTCCATCCAGGATTATTAAACTATTAGAATTTATTGGATTTTCTGGAAATAAGGTTTTAGAAATGCTTTAATTTTCGCCATTGAATTTTCATAGTTGATATTTTAAGGAAAATGGCCTAACAGACCTAATTGAAGGTTACCAATTAAATGGCATAAGGCAAATCCTCTGTACAACAACACTTTTAGGGTACAATCTCATAGTGATGCACGTTTTAAGCCACAAAGAAGGTGACATAGCTATATGTGAAAAAATTCTAAGACAACAATTGAAAAAACATCCTGATGGTGTTTGGTTTTTATTTTTCCAAGGACGATTGGAATTTATGAAAGGAAATTTGAATGAAAGTATCAAATATTATACTAAGTCTTGGAAATCGCAAGATTTATGGCCGCAATTTCATCATGTGTGTTTTTGGGAACTTTTGTGGGTCCATTGGTAAGTGCATTCTATTATTAGTTTTTAGTAGGTAGAAAGACCATAGGGCACTGTTTTGAAAATAAAAATTTTCTTATAGCTTAAAATGTGAATGGAGAGAAGCTTTAAAATTCATAACAATCCTAACTAAAGACAGTAAATGGTCTAAATGTTTGTATTCTTATCAAAAAGCCGTAATAATGATAATGATGAAAGGAGACCTTTCACGTGAAGAGCAAGACGAACTAGATTCACTTATGAAGTAAGTTGCATTAATTTTTCAAAGACATCTACAAAAAAATAATTTTTTAGAAATGTCCCAAGATACAAACAAAGAATCGCCGGTAAATCATTGCCAATGGAAAAATTTGCAATTAAAAAATCAGAACGTTACTTTTCCCAAAATAAAGTCCTAATTTTGCCAGTAATAGAACTAATGTTTATGTGGAATTTATTGAAAATAATGAAAACCTATTCGTTGGCAGCTGATATAATGAAACTAATAGAAAATGCAGAAAAATCTCTCAATTCTCAACAAACAAAATACGATGCTGATAATAAAGCTTTGGTTTACTTACTGAAAGGCGCTTGTTTGAGGCACATAGGAGCTCCAAATCAAGCCATAGATTACTTCGAAAGGGTGATCAGTTTCCAAAAAGAATTAGTGGAAGATAACTATTTGGTTCCTTATGCTATTGTGGAACTGGCTTTAGTTGAATGGTATTTGGGCAACAAAGAGAAAGCTTTGCTTGCTTTGGAGGATGCAAAGTAAGAACTTATGTTAATGCAATTAGAAAATCTTAAAAATTCTGGCCTTTGAATTTATATGATTTTAATTTCAGAAAAAACTACACAAGTTATTCTTGTGAGTCCAGGCTACATTTCAGGATACACACTGCGATGACTGAATTCAAGGCAGAACTTAAAAAAATCAAAACGTTGAAAGCTTAAGTAAGTTTTGTCTTGTTATTGTTCCTAGTCCAATTAATTGTAATTGTTTAAATCATTCCATTATATTATTAAGTCTTAAGAGGTTATGAAACTATAGAAAAAAAATAATACTTTTGAGGTTGTTAAAACTTTTAGAATACTGAATTTGTTTTAGTAGTTAGACTGTTTTTTAGATCTTACTGGGTTGGTTTCTAGGTTGTCTTTGCTAGTCAATTTATGGGTTTATGGGTACTTTGCATCTTGGGTGTCTCAGGAAATGAAAATAAAAAATGGTTTATGAATTTATGGTATTTATTCTTTTTCTGGCAAAGTCATATTTGACAATAAAGTACTTTTAAGCCAGTAAAATAGACTGTAATTCCATTTCAATTTTCCAGTAATTTATGTAAAAGTTTATTTTTAAAATATCACTATTTCAATAGATACGATTTTGCCAGACTATGCAGGAAATTTTTATGTCTTATTAGAAATTTATACTTTTTGTTGGTGTGTGTATTTTTTTTGTAATATGTAATACATAATGTTATGTTTAGCGTTTGTAGTTATACAAATTATACAGGTAATGTGCAAAATTAGCTGGAACTTATTTTTGACATTTGCATTTATTAAAATGGGTTGGTTAGATATTAGAGAGATTTTAAGCCGCTGAAAAATCAGCATTAAACATTAAACGTTATACTGCTCATGCGCAATAGCTTAAGAATTGAGGATAATATAAATAACTGATATTGTGTTCCTTTATTTATGTTCCAATAAGGGCAACATTATTAAGGGAAATGTTATCAACATCGTTGTCAAATTTAAGTTGAATAATTTGATTTTCAGATAAAAATGAAATAATTACAAGTAGAAGAAGTCCATCTACATGGATGCTTCTGCAAAACATTATCTACATTACATAAATTATATATTTGCTTCGAAAAACACAAAATATATACTTAACGAAATTTTGGTGGCATCCTTGTATTTATCCAGCAACAAAAATGTATATGAAATTATAGGAAAATCACTGAAAATAATCGTTAACGAAAGAAAATGTATGATTATGAGATTGGGAACAGCAAACGCAGTCGTCAAAACTTGAAAACTGATGTTTTCAACGTAAGCACAATCTAGTGGCTTCAAAAACTGAAATAGGGGATAATGCAATACCTAATTTTGTACCGAATGCGCATGCCCCATTTAACGTTTAGTGTATAATGACTAGTGATGGCTTAAAATCTCTCTATTATGTTTGTGTTATTAAATTTTAATATTTTTACGTAAATTTGGTGAATCGAGGAGTTTTAGCAAATTAAACATACCTTAATGGTACTTGTTCATGTTTTTGTTATTATTTTTTTATTTATTTTATTTTTATATGTCTTATTATAATCATATTATGTCTGTTGTTTTTCTTCTAATCCTTTTTAAATATTTATTGTATTGATACTAATATGTTGCGGTATACATTTATATTTTTAGAAATGCCAGAATTTATGTAATTTTTCTATGGCTGTGTTGTTCTAGGGTTTGTTATATTGTAGAAAATAAATTAAATGGAACTTTATATAGTTTTTTTTGTTTTATTTTGTTGTTCAAAATAGTGCTCAGTGTTACAATAGTTTGGTGGAGGTGAGCTTATGCTAAAAATATTATTTGGATTGAAAATAATCTTCAATAATCTCAATAAGTTGCTTGAGCCTAAAATATAATATAGTGAAACTGAAACTTCTACATTTTTCCCAATACAATCAAAGGATTGAGTTTCTAAATTCACTTTTATTATAAAATTATTATGTCATGGTTATTTTTGGAGGTTTGGATGACAGGTCTTCTGTTATCACTCAAGATTGTATATAGAATGCTAATACTGCGTTTATTATTTTGTTTATCATCAAATATTATAGTGGAAAGGTTTGAATGTATTTTTTGAGACCCCAAGATTTTTCATCTTATTTAAATCTGAACATAAACAAATTTGAAATTTTATCATTTTAGTACTGAGACTAGCTAGCTACCTTTGATTTAGATTTCTGTAAATTTTTAAAAATTATAACTTTTTCTACTAGAAATAGGAAGCTAAAATTTTCAACAATTTTTATTTCAGTAGAGGACTAAAATCCCTGAAAATTTCAGCATATTTGGGCTTATAGTTCCAGAAATAAAATCGTGTTAAGCAATTTGGGGTGATTTATCAATTTTTCTGAGTGCCTTTTTTCATAGAATCCGGCTCCAAATATCAGAATAATTTAGTGTATGGAGTTTGGGGGGTCTCGAATGATCATTTAGATACAAATTCTCAACATAAAAAAAATTTGAAATTTTATCATTTTAGTACGTAAAGTAGCTAAAGTTTGTTTCGCCAGGGTTTGTACTTGCCACCAGCATTTGTCTTCCTTGTTTAACAAATAAAAATTGACTGAAACAAACCAATGACGTCAAAAACGTTCGTCGGTTCTTAAATTAAACGTCATTCATTTTAATTTGTCAAAAAAATTGAATGTGTCATATGAATTAATCTACAACTCTTTTTTTTTCAAGTTTCAAGGTCAAGTATGAACCCTGGTGAAACGAACTTTACTTACCTTACTTTACTACCTTATGATTTAGATTTTTGTAAACCTTAAAAAATCATAACTTTTTTCCTATTAGAGAATACTGAAATTTTCAGCGATTCTTATCCCAGAAGAGGACTACAATCCCTGAAAATTTCAGCTCATTTTGCTGGAAGAATTCTTTACATTTACAAAATTGAAAATTAATCCAAAATAGTTCCTTAGCAAAAAAAATACATTAAAAGATTACGACGGATATATTCATGCCTGGATCAAGGGGGGGCTGAAGGGGCTAGAGCTCCGGGCTCCTCAGGGGCCCTACTTTTGAAAAACGCACGTTGAGGGTGAAAAACATCTAAAAAAATTATTCGAATGGTAATTTAACTGATGAATTGGTTTTCCTTTCTGAACTTTTTAGAAATTCCAAGATTAAGTGATGTAGGTAGGTAATCCGCTTGATTTATTAAAATACATTTTGGAATAATTGATACATTCCCAAATGTGTACCTACACTATTTTAAGAATTTATTTGTCAATACTTATAACCAAAGCTATAACCAATTGTGAGAACGTTTTTTTTTTTCAAAGCTGGCATATACTAGAAATAACTATAGAACAACAATGCAGTAGGAATGCTTATCTTCATTAACATTGATGTGCATAGTAAGAAAGGTTCTGAAGGAATTAGAATTTACATCAATGGAATTTACTGATGTCATAGAAGAATTTGTTAAACTTAAGTTACGAAAAAACATAGTTTGACTTATTTTTGTAAAACATGTAGGTATGTATAGCAGTGTCTCTCCTGCAGAGCTATTGTACTGAGTCTTTAAATACTTGAAGAAAATACTTAAGTACAAAAATATACTTAAGTATTTGACTTGAGCACTAATTCACACATTGGTACTTGTACTTGCAATTTCAAGTTTTTCAAATTTTACTTGTACTTGATATGTACTTATAATATCAATCAAGTATATTTTACTTGAAAGCTATTGAAAATTTGTATTTAAGTGATATTAAATTACTTAAGTACCAGTGAAATTATTTGAAGTAAATATTTTTATTTAAAGTATTTTTAAATACTTCGAAATTTAGTTGACGACTAAATAAATTTTTATCTATTCATCGCGTGACGTCATTAACACACGCAAACATTGCAAAACCTATTTAAACTGACGCAGCAATGGGTGTGAGAACGCAAACCCGCGCCAGCTCCGGCTGTCGGACTCAGTTTGTGCATATGACGTTACAGTGGTGAGAGTGGAAACTTTATACCACGGTATCTTCGCAACGGTTGGTGCGGTTTGAAAATTTGTTCTTGGATTTTTATTTTCTAAAACTTTTATTTTTGTGTCACACCCCTTTAAGATTATCGATAGTAATAATTTAACTTGTTAGTTTAATTTGAACAATACTTGAAATAAAAAAGTCTTAAATTATTTTTTGAAGTATTTCTACGTAAATATTATCATTTCAAGTACGCAAGTTAAGTAAATACTTAAATTTGACTCTGACTTTCGTGGAATTTGGTACTTGTACTTGAATTTGGACAGCTCAAGTCAATTTATTTTAAGTATTTCCTTTTGTACTTATACTTGTACTGGTAGTTGATTCGTATTAAAAAAGAAACTTGTACTTAATACTTAATACTTAACTACTTTTTCAATAGCTCTGGTCTTCTGTTATATGAGAAATTAAGTTTTTTTTATACATTTTTTTTCCAGTTAATGTATTAAGGGTCCCCAACAACTTCACCTGCTCCGGGCCCCATGAAAGCTTAATCCCGCCATAGATAGATTCTGAATAAATGTCGCAATTAATAATGAAACTATCTAATATCTTATTTTATTTTAATTTTAAATGAACCTTGTCTGAAAGTACAACAAAATAAGAAAACCACAAATAGAAATAACTTTTTATTGAACCTGAATAATTGTCTGCTCCATGTCATAATTTGTTTGCATTAATTAATTCTTCTCTTCAATGGCTATTTATGAAAAAATAATCTTCATTATTATGAATGAGTTGTAATTTTTGTAAACATTTAGATTTGCCAATAATAATTAACAATATTCATTAAGCTTCAGTGCAAATAACTATTTTCCTGGCTTAGAAAATTTATTCAATATTGATTCACCTTCTCTTCGGCTTTTTTTTACTGGTTCAATAAATGCATGCACACGTTCGCTACTACGCAATGAGCATTAATTCCAAAATTCAAGGTTTAGCTTTGACAACCATCGGCTAATATTTTGAAATCCCATGAACGGCCTGTTTCCTTGTATTCGTATTTTTAAATTCACGGTACCGCCATTCCGGAAATAATCGTTCTGCTTATTGTCCCCCGAAGGTGTTTCTCGTACACAGAATCCTTGGTACATTGATCGGCGACAGATTTTTTTTCCAGGAACATTTGAAAAATATAATAATTAGTACTCAAACTTTTATATTAACATATAAGTAGGTTGATTTTTTTACATTTAAACTAAGTTTGTGGGAACAGAGCTAATCGCTTATTTTCTGTAAGTTTTTTTCAATGATGATTTTTAAAGTTAGTAGGGTCCTTGTCAAAATAAGTATCATTTGCATAAAAATTGAGACAGCCCTGAAGAGGTATGTATGACAGTGAGTTCATGTAGACTAGGAAGAGTATCGGTCCCAGAAATGAACCTTGGGGCACTCTGTGTACAATGTTTTCCATTTTACCTTCACATTCAACATACTGTAGTCTGCCCGATTAGATTAGATTAATATTAGGGTGTTGTTACACTGCGACCTAAAGATCTATTGTGTTCCCGGCTGAGGCCGATTTGATGTGGATCTCAAATCATAGTACTTCGTCCAGTCCTATGGCCTTGATGAAGGCTAGTAACTGGTATACGATGTGAAGGATGGTATATCTCCTTCTAAAACTACATAGTCACCGAGATGTGTAGCCCGGCTTCTAGCGACGGCTTCGCATACGGTTAGTAGGTGTTCTGGAGTTTCTTCCTCCTCCCCGCAAAACCTGCATTCACTGGATCTCTCGAGTAGCATTTTCCTGCGGTGTTCTCGAAGGTGGCAGTGCCCTGTCATAAACCCTGTAAGAATTCTTAGTATAGTTTTACTTGAATTTACTAGAGCTTTAGATTTTTTGGGATTGGAGTTTCCAAGGAATATCTTAGAGTGTCTCAGTCCCGGAAGGTCGTCCCAGAGGCGAGCTCTTAGGCCGTCTTCCATTTTCTTAAGCTCCGCTGTATAAGTGTTTTTACCTATACCGCAAAAAAGGCTCCGGTCCTACAAACGGGGAACCGGATCCTTTCTTTGCCAAGTTATTGGCTTCTTCGTTACCTTCCACTCCTGTGTGTCCAGGCACCCATAGTAAAGTGACTTCATTTTTCTTTCCTACCTCATTTAGTTTCCCTAGGCAATACCGTACTATCTTAGAACTGATGACATATAAACTCAGTGCCATTATGGCCGATTGACTGTCGGTGAATATTGCAATATATTGATTGAGATAGTTCCTGTTCAGGATCATTTGAGCACATCTGTCAATGGCGTGTATTTTCACCTGAAAGATACTGGTGTATTTACCCAGTGACTCAAAATATTTGGTGCGAGGCCCAAATACTCCAGCTCCTGATCCTTTGTCGGTTTTCGAACCGTCTGTGTACCATTTAATGATGTTTTCTTTGAGAGATTCGGTGATCTTGCCGCTTTTCCAGTCGCTTTTATAATCAATCTTTGTGAGGAAGTTTCTCTCAAAGTGATATCCTTTGGTTATATCGTCTTTAGGAAGATCGAATAAGGGAATACACCGTGTCTGGGATGACCATGCTCCTTGATCGATGATGTCCTTAGCCTCGGTCCTGTTCTTAGCTAGTCTAAACATAGCCCTTTCTGCAGCTCCCTTCACCGACAAGTGCAAAGGTGTGACGTCAAGTATGACGTTCAACGCTGCTGTTGGGCATGTTCTCATGGCTCCTGTAATACATACGCTTGCCAGTCTTTGCAATTTATCAAGTGCTCGCCTTGTAGTGCTTTGTTCTGCTATGCCATACCAAACTGCTGCCCCATATGTGATTATGGGTTTTACCATCATACTGTACATCCACTGCAGTATTTTTGGTGTACATCCCCAGTTTTTACCCGCCAAGTTTCTGCACACCATAATGGTTTTAGTAGCTTTGTTAACAATGGCTTCTAGGTGTTTTTTCCATAGAAGTTTACTATCCAGTGTTACGCCCAGATATTTGACTTCGTTTGCTTGATTTACAACCTCTCCACTTAGGTGAATTTCCCTAGTAAGTTGAATTTTCCTTCTACGTGTAAATGGTACAATAGTGGTTTTTGCTGAGTTGATGCTCAGCCCACTGATGTGCACCATTCTTCGGTAGTACTTAGGCCTTTTTGTATGAGGTCGTATAGTGTGCCCTCAAACTTGCCTTTGGCAATAATGACAATATCATCGGCGTAACCTATACAGGTTAGACCCTGATTTGTCAGTCTGGACAGGAGTTCATCAACTACTAGGCTCCACAACAGGGATGAGGTTACTCCCCCTTGAAGTGTACCACGAGTGGTTCTGATGCTTGTGGTTTGTTCACCCACAGTTGTCTCAGCTGTTCTCGTAGTCATCATTTCACAGACCCACCGGACTATGGTTTTATTCACTCCTCTCCTCTCCAGAGCAATTTTTACTGCTCCATGGGACATGTTATTAAAAGCCCCGGATATATCCAGGAAGGCACATATGGCTGTTTCTTTTTCCCTGATGGTTTTTTGGATGATTTCTGTAAGTTCATAGAGCGCTGTCTCTGCCCGATAGATAATCCCTTAACCACAGTAGTGCTGATAACTTCCAATACTAGTTTTTTCAAGCACCTACACGAGGATTTTGTGATTTACTGTATCACTAGCTTTTCTTAAGTCCAGCGAAACAAGTAGGTACACACTTATATCTCTTATCAACTTTTTCATAGAAATTTGTAATTAAAGGTCTGTATTTGCTGAGGAGGTATTGCTGTGTTTTCTGAATCTATATCGACCCACATACCAAAAATTTATTTCATCCAAATAACTGGTTAATGTCATATTTACCCAGGTCTCCAATACCTTAGATATAACTGGCAGCAAGGAAATGGAACTTTAGCTGTTTAGTTCTGTGCTATCACCACCCTTAAATAAAGAGACAACCTTTGCCATTTTAACCAGACTTGATTTTCCTCTGGTTTTAATTTGTTTATAACTGCAGTGACCTCCTTTGCAGTCACAGGTTCCCATTGATTTATATAGGCAGTGGAAGTTGGTTGGAGTTGAGGGGAAAACATTGCTGGGGGGATGTTTTATGCTAGTTCTGCAGCAATTCTGGAAAAGACTTGGTTTAGCAAGTTGGGGTATTTGCCATTAGGTAGCATAGGTATTTTGATCCTCGAAGTTTCTAGAGATAAAAATGAGTTTCTTGTGAACTTTTGTTAGATTTACTCTGTCTCTTGGAATGTTGATAGCTCGCAGAGATAAAACATGTAGTAGGTGTTTCTCAAGTTTTAGATTTCCAGATTTGAAGAGAAAATATAGAAAAATATTAATTTTTTTGGGAAAATTCCAAGTAAAAATATGTATTTCTATCTTCCATATGAAATCTTTCTCAACATTTATTTATTGACTATTTGAAGAAAAGGACATTTTTTGTAAAAATTGATTCTCGTTCTTTTTTTTTTGGTTTTTGTATTTTTGTCTGTTTATAATATAAATTTATTCGGTGCCACGCCCAAAAGCGTTCATTTCGAACCTCAAAATGAACGTTTTTGGGCGTTGAAAAAAAAACTTGTTGAAACATTTGTTTTCTATGAGTTGTTTGAATGCGGGTGAGTGGTGATCAATAATAACAAATACTATCCTAAAACTAAATAGGGCCTGGGTACGTAAGTAAAAAATTGAGGTGGAAAATCAAGACACCCCAGTATTTTGCGATCTTATGATGGATGTCTAAAGAGTAAGAACATTATGCGTGAGCCTACACACTCACTGTGCACTAAACTTTCCTTTTATGCTATCAGAAAATCGGGGTTTATTTTCATTTTTCAGGAGTTTTTTAAGGTTCAGCTTAATTTTTTATTAGTAGTTTTATTTTGAGAAATTCGTGAAAAGTTTTACTTGAATCTTGAATGACAGAGCTATAGGCGGCCTGCGGCCGCCCTTAGATTTGGCCGCCCGCGTGAGGGACACGCGCTGCACACCTGCTAGGATCTGCCCTGGGAATTGGAATAGTTTGTATCAAATAATGCTTAGATACTGTAATTGTAGAATTTTTCCAATCAAAAACAGATAGGTAGAGTTATATAAAAATCCCAACTTAAATCATGCTTTTTGTTTGCTGCAGTTTTTAACATTCCAAAAATATCATCTTGAGAAATTTTCGGAATGCCTCATCAGCTCACAAAGTTAATGTATTTATCTCCGTTTTTTGAAGTGGCATACTTTAAGATACATTTTAGACTTTAGACTTCGTAAAATCCCCAAAACGATAGTACTTTCCAAGTTCCCCAGATACACGAATTCTTTATCATCATCACGCCTTCGCCGCCAACTGAGGAGGTTCGTTTTTAAAACATGTCGGCATGCTTTGCGAAATCACTAATCAGTTTAGTACTGCACCGCGACACAGCTAAAGCTAAGTCGTACCAAATCGTTGGAAACACGCGGCTTTTTCTATAATATTTTCGGCACAAAATGTGTTTTTCAAATAAGCGTTTGAAATGTGGTTGTAATCAATACAAAGAGACTTGAAGGTGTTTTGGCCTGTGGCTTTATTTATTTATTTTTTTTTTTTTTTTGGTGTGGATATTAAAATATTTGAACAGAGGGTAAGTCCAATTAAAATTTATTAGCTAAAGAAAATGATAAGTGAATCAAGTTTATCAAAGAAATATTGTAGGAGGAATTGAAACATATATTATGCCGAATCAAAACAATTATTTTTATATTATATATTTCTATTATCAGCAACAATGTTAGACTGGAAATCTTATCGGCTAAAGTCCGTTATTTTATACTGATACAAAAGTTGGTTACATATTTTTTATATGTTAGGTTTTTCAAGTGTATGAAAAATCAATTAAAAATCTAAAAAGAAGCATATATTATTTTGGCCTCATTTGATTTAGTAGAAATAAATTAGGTATGAAAATAGCCTACATTTCAATAATACGTCTAGAGGCAGATTAGATAACAAGTAGTGTCCCAAGGCTTAGGTGATTTTATGCATTCTCAAAAATAATTAAGTTACATTAACTTTAAAACCTGACGTTGTCTATATCAATCATTACTATTTATGTTTAAAATTAGTATTCATTGGTACTACTACCAATAGTACCAAGAAAGTCATTGCCATTAATAAAAATACCCGATGACTAATAATTTCGTACCCATAGAGGAAACTGGATTGCCTTTCAAATAATTCGCATTCAAAATGATAGCGCGCCAACCGCCACATATTCATCCAACAATTCCTTTCATGAATATATAATTTCCTATGAAGAAATGGTGGGCGGAAATGGAATTTTCGATGAATGCTGATTGAATACCTGATGGTATTCGCAGAATCCTAAAGGTTGGTCTATTGCATTTTGTTGCATAAGTTTCTAGTAGTGCCAATAGAGAGAGATTTCAAGGCGAGCAAAAATAACAACAAATGGTAACACTTCAAATAACTAAATCCTTGAACATCATTCAATGTCGACCAAAATTCTTCTGGTCTGCTGAATCTATAATGTAATTCATCATTATTGAACTTGATATTCAATTTCCAAATTGGGACTCTCGATGTCCCTTTATCTCTCCGAAAATAAAGAAAAACCTCATCATTGATGTAAAGTTGCTCCAAAATATCTACTTACCAAAAATAAAAATTGTACCTAAATATTGGTGATATTGCGAACAAATTCAATTTAAAATATTCTTTTATAGGATATTATTTTTTTTATCTAGAAAGTGATCAATCTAAAAATAATTAAACAAACTTGGCCAAGCAGCAAATTAGTAACAAAGTATATACAGTTACTTCTTAAAGCCATGAGTCATAACATTATTATAAATTTTTCAAAGACGATGACCTAAGATTTCAAGACAGCAAAAGCGTGTCGATTTTCTGCAGAGGTATTTATATCTACTGGCACGTTTAAAAACAAATGAAATCTCTAAAAATACATTTGAACTTACAAGACAAAACTATATAATAGTATGGCATGGATCCTACTTGTACCTACTGAACGAGGTTACAAGATCGTTTTTTTGACCTTTAAATCTTAAAATAGTTAATCAAATTTGGCAAAGAATGTGCGTGGCTTATTATAGATATTTTAAGTGTAGGTATTCTTGGGCTAAAAAGTAATATGGAAATAAGGAATGGTAAAAAGTTACATTCACCAGGTATTTTAAGTTATATTTAGACAGCTGTCAATTTGGAGTCCTGTATTTACTTTAGCACTGTACAACAAATAATCTTTAATTTATACTGATAAATAAACCATAAATAGATATGGCAACTATATGTAAATAGATGCGGTAAACGGTTTAGATAAGAATAAAATATTAGCAAGAATTAAAATGCAAAAAAATGCCGAATAAAATAATAATTATTATATAAGTTATTGGTAGTTTATGTCACTGGCACGAAAATTTTCTCTTTATCTCCAATATCAAACTTCGACTCTATGTTTGCTGTCAAATCGTACTTTATTGCCTTTCTTAGATACTCGCATTTGCTTGGTTTGAGTGTTAGGTTTGCTTGTCATAATCATTCTAAGACCTTCCTTAGTTTAGCTATGTGTTCCTCTAGTGTTTTTGAAAAGATTATAATGTCGTCCAGGTTCCTTCTATTTCATGTCCCAAAATACTTGGTCTGCAAGTTCCTGAAAGGTGGCTGGAGCATTGCATAGTCCAAAACTGACAATGTTGAATTCATATAAACCATGTCCCTGTGCGACGAACGATGTGTATTGTTTTGATCCTTCTTTTAAAGGTACCTGCCAGAATCCCAAGAACATGTCCAGGGTGCTAAAGTATGCTGCGTCCCCTAAGTATGACAAAATGTCGTCTATTTGTGGTAGTGGGTACGTTGATTTTTTCGTCACGGCATTTATTTTTCGGTAGTCTACACAAAATCTCGTTTTTCCGTCCTTTTTCTTTACTAGAACCACCGGACTAGTCCAAGGGGAGTGACGAGGTCTGATTACTTGGTTTTGCTTATCGATTATTTGTCTTTCTTTCTGAGACTGTATGGACGCTGCTTAAATATTTGTTGTAGTCCCTGAGATCCCTGAGTCCCATCAAAATATTAATAACTATAATTACCTATATTATAAGACGATAACACTTGTCAAAATCACATGGTGTTCAATAGATCAAAGTTTATATCTATTAAAAAGCCCACCTGAATTTTTTTTATTCAACCCATTTTAAACCAATATTTTATCTTACATAGATAGATCTAAAAATAATCACAATAAAGAAATTTTCTAAATTTCAAAATTTTTATTTAATTTATTGTCGCAAAAGGTGTTCAAATCACCATTTACGTCAATACATTTCTCGAATCTTCTTCTTAGTCCAATAAGAATGTAAACAATTTAGTCAAATAATGCATATTTATACACTGATAATGTCCCGCTTTCTATAGTTTATTAATCTACAGTCACAATACTAGTCTAGAAAGTCATTGGGGTTCACTATAAAACCCCAGGCCCCACGTTGGGCGCCAAATGTGTAGCAGGTATCGGTGGGAACTCCAACACTATACACTACACATTGTTTTTCAATGTTTTTTTTTAACAATTTAACTGGAAAAATACAAAGTCGACAGACAGGAAAATGTAATGTGGGTACAACTTGGACACACAGGAAACTGTAATGTCGGCACAAAAATTTAGGACAAACTTAGAGACAGGAAACTGTAATGAAGAATTCGGTTTTTGACGTTTGTGTGGAATATTCCAGAAATCGTGGGAACAATATCTAAATGTGGTAAAACTCAGACAATTCAGTCAAATAATGCACATTTACGCAATGATAATGTCTCGCTTTCTATAGTTCATTAATCTACGGTAACAATACTAGTCCAGAAAGTCATTGGAGTTCACTATAAAACCCCAGGCCCCACGTTGGGCGCCAAATGTGTAGCAGGTTTCGGTGGGAACTCCAAACACTATACACTACACATTCTTTCTCAATGTTTTTTTTTTTGGTTGCGCTTCACCTACTTCTATCTCAAGTGCCGTTAGGTTTGTTCTTCCTATGTGTTTAGTTGATTTGGCGAAAACGTCATTGTATTCTAGCAGATCCTGGAATGCCTGTTTTGCTCTTTTGTCTCTAATGTTCTCTAGTTTGTGGTCTTCTACTGTTATTTCCTCGGTTTCCTTCAATATTTCTTCTTGCGTTTCTAGGTGGTACAACAAGCTTTCGTTTTCCAACTCCTCCAAAAATGCTATGGTGGTTCCTGCATATATGGTTGCTGGATTTCTTGTTTTTGACTGTATTTTCAGGACGAGGGAGTCGACCTCATCTGTGTAGATATGTGTTTTAGTACCAGATGCTTTTTTGCGAGCCAGTCTAATTTGTATTTGCATTAATAGCTTATTGTTTCATTTATGTCATTTATTTTGCCCATGATTTCTAATTCGATTATTTCTATTTTTCGAGTGTCGGTGAATATCTGCATTAGCTGACCAATTTCCTCTTCGGAATTTTTTTCGGTCTTTCGTTGTTTTGCTGCCTGTTTTGTATGCGGATTTCGATTCCTGAGTCTTTGAAAACATGATGCAGCATTTGTTCAAATCTTCCCCATTCTTTTTCCAATCCCCATCCTTGTCTTGGAATGACCAATGTTGTGAGGGACCTAGATTTGCTAGTTTTTTTCAGTGCTATCAGGCATCTGTACATGTTTTTTGGGGTAGGCTTTTTTTTCATCGTTTCTCTCGTAAATAGAAAAATTGTCGATTTTTTCCCGTAGTTTTCTTTTAATTATGCAATGGTTCTTGGTTCCCTTTTCTTCGGGAGGCTGCGCCTGTATTTTCTGTATATGCACCTCTTTGTTATGTAGTTCTGGGTTACTCCGAATACCAAACCCGCGTCATTTGGTAGGTGATTTATATCTCGATGTTTTTTCCTCAAGAATCTGCTTGTATTTATCTGTCTTTCTTATGTGTATGTGGTCCTTGATAAACTTGTCTTTTTAAGAGCAGCTAGGTTCCGTGCTCGTTTGGCGGTAATGAGGCTTGACAAGCTAATGTTCTGCTTATAGTCCTGATACAGTCGTATTCTATATTTATTATTCAATACAAGTAGTTTTCTTGGCAGGTCTAGGATGGCTTTATTCTCTGTCAAAAATTCCATTTCTAAGATCATCGGTTGCCCTGACACTGGAGATGACTTTTGCATTTAGTATACCTTTCCACTTTAGGTTTCCTGCAATTTCCATTGTTGTTGTTATTTTTCCCAACACTGGTATTCGATGTCTCCCTGCAGTGACTAATATCGTGTTATTATTTGTCTGTATTTTTCCTGTTACCAGTTGTGCTGGTATGACATCATTTTGGGCTCCCGTGTCGACTATATCAGACAGAGTCCTGTTATTTATTGTGATGAATAAGATTCCTATTCTAGATGTATCTCCTAGGTCTAGGATGGCTGGGGTATCTATTTTTGCCATCCTTTTCCGTTTGGGTTTTGCTTTTGGCTCCTGGAGGTGGCTGCAAAGTGTCCCTGTTTTCCACAATTGTAACATACCGGATTATTGCCATAATTTCGAGAACTATAGGCTCGATTTCTCTGTAGTTGGCTTCGGCACACCGCCGCAGCGTGTCCTATT